CCCCGTTTACTTTGCCCAGCCAGACTGCGGCACCAGTAAACCATCAGCTAAGCAGATTTGTATCATAAGAAAGGCCAGCTAGGCAGCTGCCCTGGAGTCAGTATACAGGCACACTAAGACATTGCTGGCAGTGAAATGAGTTGGTGACATTTTCTTATTCTCCAAATCTCCTTTCTGGCAAGGTACTATAGGTAGTGAGATGACCCTGTGTATGTGTGTGTGTGTGTGTGTGCGCGCGCGCGCGCACGGACACCCAGGTGACATACCTGTTGTTCTGACAGTCCTAAAACTGCCTTCTAAGGAGGACAGGATAAGTTAACTGCAACACTGAGAGTATAGGGGAGGCTGAGAGTTGCCCACAGCCACTTTTATTCTCCCTTCCCCCTGGAGCAGCCACTCTGTCCTTGGAAACAGGGCATAGGTGTCTTGAAGGGCTGAGATCCTTGGCCTGCTGGGTGCTCTGCAGGCAGCGAATCAGGTGCAGGAGAGCGGACATCTCATTCCTCCTCAGCGTTTCCCTCAGGAGCCAAATTATTTTCATTTGGTCTCGGATGCCCTTTTCTCTCAAGTTTTAAATTGTGCCTGTTGATGTCCTCTCTAATCTTACTTAACAGAGCTTGTCTGTAGTACATGTCAAAGGTAATACTTCCTGAACAAAAGGCTGAGAGAGGAGGGTCTGATGGAACAGCCAAGCTAGCAAAGAGAAAACTGAATATTCCTTCGTATTACAAATGTCATTTTTGTTAAAAGACTCCTTTAATATGGAACTGTTCTGGGGCAACTTAAACAAGAGTTCCAGTTACAAGCACTATTTTTGGTAATACAGTTTTTGCTCCAGAGGCATGCTTGGTATACAGATAGCCACAGAGTTATTTTCTAAAGAAGGGGGTGCAGTTAGAAGCAGAGCTCTGGTTCTTGCTGAATAAGGTGTGTTGATGTCTTTGCGATTCTAAAAAGGGAAGCTGTAGCATGCAGCACACCTCCTGTGACACAAGGCAAAGCACTAATGAGAAATGGGGCAGGATACACAATAATCACCATGAGTCAATGAGCAAAAATTAATTGCAATAAAATTCTTCCAAAAATGCATTAAAAGCAAAAACACATTTTTGTCCCTAGAAAGGGACCACACCTTTTAGTAACCTCTGGATCATCTGGCAAGATATGGCTGGAGGGCCTACCTAGATCTCCTTGACAGATGTCAGTCCTATTGGCTCCACCAATGATAAATCTGGGATTCTCACAAATTTCCTGTGAAACAAAAGAGAAACAACCAGGTAAAACTAATAGTAGTAGCTATTATTTGTTGAGTCCTGGCATTTAGTGTTGATTGGCACCCTGTATCGGGAGCTTTATACCCATCTCTCATTTAAGTCTCCAAAAAAGAGCCCTGTGAATTGGATACCATCTTGTTATTTTTCAGATAAGAAAACCGAGGCTCTGAGAGGTTAAGAAACTTGTCCAAGGATACACAGATAGTAAGTGCTAAAAGCCAGCTGTATGCCTCCTTTTCATTATCCTACAGTGCTCCTCAAACTGTCATACTATTTGAGTAAGGATGTACCTTGAGAAGGCTGTGTCATTTCTGCTTTAACAAAGTGACAACAGAAAGCACAGCTCTTGCTCTTCCTAAACAAGAAGGAATGCCAGAAGGAAAATAAAGTTCTTTCTCTCCAAGATAATGGTAACATAGATATTTAAAGTTAGTGTATGTCCCTACTTCCATGGACTCAAATGCTGGGGAAGCAGAGAGTAGACTTGGTGTAAGCCTCACCAGCCTCCCAGTCCGTTGGAGGGGGCAAGTCTTTATTCAAGTCCATCCAATAAAGCACCAGTGGCTCCAGCAGTTTTAAGTTCAGGTAATAGGTTAGTGTTTAGCCCAACAGAGGTCAACAGAGGGCGCTCTTGGTTTGTATGAAGACTTCAAGTTTTTTTTTTTTTTTTTTTTTTTTGCCAGTGGGCGAGAATTGGTTTTGTTTACTTTTAAAAATAATTATAGATACAGTGTTTTGGTTTTAACACTTTTCTTCACAGCTTTGAGAATCCTTGCTATTCCTGTGACACCCTCTCTGCCTCCTCTCTTTTCCCAACAACCCAATATATCCCAAGTGAGCTAAAGCTCCTGGCACTCAGGGATGGAAAGTCTTGCTTACAGCACATTACAGCCCTCCTCCTATCGCATTAAAACTCTGAATGCAGTGGAAGGATAAACCACTACCAATAATTTTTTAAACAATTACCTATATTTGGAGAGAGGGAATAGGTGCAAGGAATTGGGATAAATAAAACTTTGAACATAACCATTTGAAAATAGGTTTGAGAGCTGGGGTTGTGGCTCAGAGGTAGAGTGCTTGTCTAGCATGTGTGAGGCACTGGGTTCGATCCTCAGCACCACACAGAAATAAAGATATTGTGTTCACCTATAATTAAAAAATAAATATTAAAAAGAAAATAATTTTAGGGCTTGGGATGTGGCTCAAGCGGTAGCGCGCTTGCCTGGCATGCGTGTGGCCCGGGTTCAATCCTCAGCACCACGTACAAACAAACAAAGATGTTGTGTCTGCCGAAAAACTAAAAAAAAAAATAAATAAATATTCAAAATTCTCTCTCTCTCTCTCTCTCTTTAAAAAAAATAATTTTGACAAAAAGCATGTAAGGTTTTATATAATTAAAAGCTAAAATTAAAGAGGAATCATAAAAAGCAATCTGTAAAAGCTGAAAGCAAACTGAAGCAAAGGAAGCTAACTGTACATCAAGTCAGGGACATAAAATGAGTTATTTCAGGTGACTTAAAATATAGCTTTTTGACTATCCCTTTGGGAATATTGCCTAAGAACAAACCCAAAACCATAAGAAATAAGAACAAATAATAATATCCTTATTTCAAAACTGACATGTGACATGTATACAATAAGATAAAGCAAATAAGAACTTATGCTAATGTAATTAGCATAAAAATGTAAAATTATAAAATAACTAAAAAAACTGCAGTGTTCAAATTGAGTTGCATATTTAACTCATGAATTACAAAGAAGGAAAGCAAAGCAAAGGTGAATACTGAAACTATAATTCAAAAATCTTCCTCTAAATAAAAGAATATATTTGATACTGCATATTTGAAATAACAATTGGAATACTAAGAATATCAACAGAGAATGACATGAAGGTATATTCTAGCACATTACTGGACTTCAAAGAAGAGGGGGGAAAATTCTTTGGGCATGTAGGAAAAAATAAGTGACTTAAAGGGGAAAATCTTCTATTATCAGACTTTTCAGTACAAATTTTTTTTTTTTTTTTTTTTTTTTTGTGGTGCTGGGGATTAAACCCAGGGCCTTGTGCATGCAAGGCAAGCACTCTACCAACTGAGCTATAGCCCCAGTCCTCAGTAACAATTCTTTATGTCAGAAAAAAGTGAAACAATATATTTAGGATCATCAAAGAAGGGAAATGTGAACCAAGAATTTATTTATAGTATAACTTTCTTTCAAGTATAAAGAGTATGGGCAAACAATCTCAATACGTACGAATTCAGGGAATATTGGTCTCATTAGTTCTTCCTAAGGAATATACTAGAGATAAGCTACAGACAATAAGAAGAACTTGAAAAACATCAACATGGGTAGGGAGAGCACTTAATATAATACAGCTATTTACAGAATTAAAACTAAATGATGCTTAGCCAGCTATTGTGATTGCTTGGAGGCCGAGGCAAGAGCATTGTAAATTTGGTTTTAACACTTGTTAAAACTTTTTTTTTTTAAATTATTTTTTTAAAATATTTATTTATTTTCGGCAGAAATAACATCTTTGTTTGTATGTGGTGCTGAGGATCGAACCCAGGTCGCACGCATGCCAGGCGAGCGCACTACCACTTGAGCCACATCCTCAGCCCAACACTTGTTAAAACTTATCGAGACCCATTCTCAAAAATATAATTTTAAAGAAAGAGCTGAGGAGAACGGGCTTCTCCCGAACTGCCATTTCTGCCATGCAGCTCTGGACTTTGCTCTCAGTTTGCTCTGGAGTCCCAGGTTGCTCTGCGGTAAGGAGCTGAAGATCCCTTGCAAGCTAGACTGGCTCTTGAGCACCAGGAAATGAACACTACTCCCTCACCTTGGCATTGCATCACCTCGATTTTAAGTCATGATATTTCACATGATTGGCCAGGAGTTGAAGAAGGCCAGAGAACTGAAGAGACTTAATGTGGAAATATATGCAGAATCTGAAATGTTACTTAGAACTTTGAGAACCAGAGTGGCACCAATCAGATGAACCAGCAGCTCAAGATTCCATGTCCAGAGCCAGGAGGTCACAAGAAAAAACTCAGCCCAGGAAACACTGGGTTCAACATATATATGCTATAATCCTGATTCATCACCCTCCAAAATGCAATTCTATTAAGCCCCACTACATGATGCTTTGTCATACAGGATCACATAGTCACAAACAATTTTTTAAATGACTCCAAGGAAAATTAATCAAACGTTGGAATTCCTTTTCTCTCTAAATATTAAGGAAGATAAAATTGTAAACAGATATAAATCTTTAAAAAAAAAACTAAAAGAATCAATGAACACAACTTTCTTTTTCCTTTCCAATGTGAAAAGGAGTCTCCAGTTTTTGGTTTTTTTTATCTTTCAGCCTGGCTCCTTCCCAGCCTTTTCTGAACACTTACTTGGTCATTGACCTTACTTCCATCAGCAATGGCTGCTGGCAATTGTGAAAGTCTGCGCTACTCTAGGAAGGTTGGAGAACTCACTTCATGCTTTGTGCTCCTCCCTTTTTGGATCCCTGGGAGAAGTTCTCTGTCACTCAACCACCTTACCCTTCCCATCCTGACTCTTTGAAATCTTAATGGGAAAAGTCTGGTAAATAAAATTCTTTATCTTGATACAGTTGAAAGCAAGCAAGCAAGAAAGAAAGAGCTGAGGTGGAACTCAATGACACAGCACTTGCCTAGAATGTGCAAGGGCCTGGGTTCCATTCCCAATGCCAGGGTGCAGGTAGCGGGTTGGGACCTAAGTGGTGGTTAAAAGAGAAAATATATAGTATGTAATGTATTACCTGTAATGTTCAGGCAATGCACAAGTATTTAAAACTATTTCACATAGGAGAAGAAAGAGCATATGAAAAAAATCTGTTTTCAGGAAATGATTTGTGGGGATATTATTAATATTGTTATTCTGCAGCTTAATATTGTTATTTAGACAAACAAAAGTTGAGGGAATTCATTGCCAGCAGACTTGCCTTGCAAGAAACAATAAAAGAAATTCATCAAGGAGACAAAAAAGTGATATAAAAAACTTGAACCCAATAAAAGAAGAAAGCATGTAGGAGAAGGTATAAAAATAAAACCTTTCATTTTTCTTATTGTATGTTAATTTCAGTCAAAGCAGACTCCAAAATGGAAAATTATCAGAGAGAAAGAGGGCCTTATGTAATGATAAAAACATTGTGGTGGAGGGGGTGGCACGTGCCTATAATTCCAGAGACTCAGGAGGCTGAGGTAGAGGCCAGTCTCAGCAACTTGGTGCAATCTTGACTTGAAATAAAAAATTTTTAAAAAGGCTGGGGATGTAGTTCAGTGATTGAGCTCTAATAATATAGACAGACAGACAGACACACACACACACACACACACACACAATTTTCCAAAAGACATAATTCTATAGTGTGTGCACCCAACAACAGGGTATCAAAGTACATGAGATAAAAAGTGATAGAACTAAAGGAGAAATAGACAAATCCAATATTATAGTTGGAGAGTTCACCAACTCTTTTTTAATAATTAAAGGCCAAGTGGGCAGAAAATCAGTAAGGATACAGTTGGCCTGAACGACATGATCAATCAACTTGACTGAATTGACTTTAATAGAATATTCTACCCCAAAATGGAGGGATAGCAGTCTTCTCAAATTTCTCTGTAACAAGTCATTTAGGCAGATCACACTGTGGGTCATCAAATACACCTTAAAAGATGTAAAAGAACAAAAATCATACAAACTATGTTCTCAGACCATAGTGGAATGAAACAAAATAAATAACAAAAAGACAGCTGAAATTATTTGGAAATGAAACAACACATTTCTGAATAACACATAGGTCAAAGAAGAAATTTCAAAAGAAGATTTTTAGAACTAAATGACAATGACAATTAGGGGCTGGGGTTGTGGCTCATTGGTAGAGTGCTTGACTGGCACATGAGAGGCACTGGGTTTGATCCTGAGTATCACATAGAAATAAATAAG